GGCTCGAAAGAATGGCAACCAGTCCATCACGAGAATGACATCAAAACCCGTCATATCCAGAAGGATGAAATTAAGCTCCAAAGTCCGCCTAGCTATCTCAATAGCACAACCCCAACAAACCCTGTCCAAAGAAACTAAACCCCTAACTGGTATGTCAATACAAAGAAAACTGTCACAAAATGTGATCTTTAACCCCAATGAATGTGCAAAAGACGGTGAAATGAATGAATGAGATGCACTGGTGTCAATCAAAACTTTAGCCTAAAAATTAAACGTTGGGAAAATACTTCAAACAACTAAAGGTCTTGTGGAAGTATCTGCCTGCGGAAGAGCATACACTCTACCCTGAGCCCTTGAACCCTATTGTCCACTACCTTGAAAGCCTAACTGGTGGGTGGAAGCACTAGGTATAGAGCCCCTCGCTGGAGGCGTGCTATGAATTGAAGTAATTGGTTGTGGTGCCTGAGGAACTCTGGACCCCGATTGCACTACTGTGGACTGTGCCGGTGCTTCTTGTGAACCTATGCCACTATGGGCCCCACTCCTCAACTGAGGGCACTCCATCTTAAAATGATCTTCCCATTTGTAGTAATGGCAAAGGCCCTATCCTCCCCTCATAGAAACTATAGGCTAACTAATTGGAGGCTGAAGCTGTGGACAACGAGGCCTGATGTGTCTTGGCTGCTGGCAATGGTGACAGACCATTCCTACCATTCCTCGGGTAGATCTTGAAGACAAGGGAACTATGGGTGCAGAACGAACCTGCTGCTGTAGCCTCTGTGAGTGAGTACTATCTCCGCCTCTAGCCCTCTTCAACTAACTCCCAGAAGATGAAGCCTTACCTCAAAATTGTTTCCCCGAACCCCTGATCCTCTATTGATCCCTATCCTCTGCCTCAACAAGCATATCCCTCTGAACTACCTCTTTATAGGTCCTCAAGTCTATAAGTGAAACCCGAGGCCGAATGTCAAGATGCAAGCCATCTTGAAACTTCATGGCCTTTGCCTCATCTGTCAGAACCATATCCTCGGCGTATCGAGAGAGAGTGAAGTAAATTGGGTCTCATAAACAATGACACTCATAGCACCCTGGTAGAGAGCGGCAAACTGCAACCTCATATCTCGCCTCATAGGCCCATGAAAGAATTTGTTAAAGTAGAGTCCTTTGAACTAAGCCCATGTCATTACCTCTAGGTCATAAGTATTGGTAATAGACCTCCACTAAATCTCTGCGTTGCCAATGAAAATAGAAGAGGTCAAGAAGATCCTCAACCTATCTATAGGCATTGTCATAAGATCACGGACCTCCACTTGCTGACCATAAGATCGAGCCAAGCCTAAGCAACTAATGGATTCGAACTCCCAACAAACTAATCAATCTTCACTCTCTACAGCTTCATAAAGTAGTCCAATACCTCATTGATTATAACTAGTGCTAGAATTTGTATCCCCGCAACCTCCTTTCGAACCAACTCCTGGAGAGATATAAAAATTCCTTTGGTCACTCCCCACATAACATGTTCCTCATCCACATGCGTTGGTGGTGGATCAACATCCACATTTTGAGCACTGGCCTTAGCCTTCCTAAGGTTGCCCATGCCCCTGCTGAGCTCGGTGTCATCAACCTGTTCATCCTCAATGTGACGTAAAGACTTTCCACGTGTCATAACCATGATGTTATAAGCACGAAAAACTAAATTAGCATAGACGTAAGTCACTAACCAATCCCTTGAGCTCAAGACCGTATTACAATGTATATGATAATATAAACAATCATACATATCATGCTAAGACAATAAGGAATGTTTTTAAACATCTTGTTACATAAGCACTTAAACAGATAAGCATGTCAACAAGAAGTATGAATTTTAAACCCAAAACCCGTTGTTCTTAGGTTTTCAAACCCGAACGCTCTGATACCACGTTGTGATGCCCCAAATTCTAAAAACTGGTGCATCAACCAAAGACTAAAACCCGACCTGATATCGAGTCCGAAATACGAAAGCTAAGGTAAAAAAAAGGACAAAATATGAAGGTACGGCAAAATGGTCATTTTACCCAATGGTGAGGAAATTTGACTCTAAATAAGTCAAATGAAGGGTACTCAATCCAATATAATCAATACATAACATCCTAAGAGGTCCTAAGGCCTTTAGTCATGGCTTCCCACAAATACTCCTTCCCGGTCAAGTGATATCCCGATATTGTCTCATTAAAACATTTATATCTCTTGGTAGGTTTGGAATTTGAAAATGATATTGGTACCATTGGAAATCTGACTTAAAATCCTTAAATTTAGACTCAAGAATGACCTAAGTTGGATCTGAAATGAGGGAGATGTGACAGTTACAAAATTAGGTGAAAAATGTTGTGAAAAAATGGATGGACGACCAGTCGTCCTAGGCACCCGCGCACGCGTCATGACAAGAGGCGACCAGTAACCAGATTCTGCTATTGGTAGTCCAAACCAAAGTGTGTTGGTGAGCACTGTTTTTTACCAAAATGCTAAAAATCAAACTTTTGAATCTTACCCCCCTTTACCCCAAAGTGGACTCTAAGGCTTCTAATGTCAAACCTACGTATGATAAAGTATAGAATGGTATAAGAATATCCCAAAATACATAAATTACCACAATTATACATTTGGACATAAAAAGTGCATTTAACATACATTGAAAGGAAATGGCCATTGGCCTCATTACATAGCTTTCAAGGTTATACAAAAAGAGAACTAGGATGGAAATGACTCTAGAACTAAACCAAGAGATCAACAAGTTCTAGATCCATTTCCTCTCTCCAAAAAGGAAATTAAACAACTCATAAATACATTACATGTCTATGATCCCAAAAGACTCATAAAACATGCTAAACACTTTGCATGTGAGTAAGATGCAAAAGATGTCAAAGACAACAGAAGTAGATTTAAGCTAAGGATGATGAGCATCCAATAAAAGTATCTTTTTGCCTGAAAAATGATAAATCAACTAGGGTAAGTAATTTAAATTACTCCGAAGGAAAATGTATTATAAGGGTAACCTAAAGTTTCATTAGCCTCGCAATAATAACATAAGATGAATGAGTGTGGTACATGCATCCTATGCGTCTAATTCAAGGGTGGACTAAGGAATCATCCTAAAACTAATGATTGAAGCAATGTAAATAGATTTCATCTAATAGAAATACACTTAACAAGAATGGAACGGCAACACCAAATACTCCAAGCTGCAAATACATAAGAATGTCAACTTGGAAATGAAATACAAAATCACATAATGGGGATAACTTGGACGCACTCACCAATCCAATCATGCACAAGACATGACCAAAATAAATTATCTCTTTCTGGGTTAGTAACCTGCAGGAAACTTCCCAAATGGCCATTATAATATGGGAAAAACTCATATCTCCCTCACTAAAGCCAAACTCTAGCAATCTTAATGTTATAATGTCCCAAGCATCTCCCAAAATCAACAATCATTCCCCAAGATAACCACATAATTAATGTACACGTTTCATCTTCCATGCGCACATAAGTTATGAGAATCAAGCATTGCCATGTCCTAAGTCTGTAATGCTACTCATGGCATGAAATCAAACAAATGATATATGTGCATATGCTAACATTGAGATACCCAATAAAAGATTAACTTCATGCTAGCAATTAAAAATCTCTACTATCCTAGTAACTTAAACATATAAGCATCCATGTAAAATCATTAAACTAAGGGATGATACTTACACAACTCAAGCAAGTTCTAAGTATATGATATAGTAATTTACAAGCATGAAGATCATATAAGAATAACAACTTGTAATATCTCAATGATGCAATAATGGAATATATCATTTTAGTACTTGAACAATGAATTTGTAAACTATATAATCATGCCTTTAACCACCATGTGAGCCCATGTTAAGAAGTAAAAACAAATAAATCTCTCCATAAAATCACACAACACATATACAACTCACGATACACTCCAAAACACAATGAAAAGGCCTAGGTTACAATTATACTACACCGCCTACTTCACTGGAGAATGCCTTTCTAGAATCCAAGAGTAAAATGGTGCAATGCAAAATCCAAGATAAGGGTTGTGATGCCAAGGGATCCACCAAGCTTTCTTTTTTCTATGGTGTGGTCAAAATATGAGAGGAAGGTAGAGGAAACTAAGCTCTAAGGCGGAGCTTTAATCGTGGTTGAGAGAGAAAGTGGTGAAGGAGATGAAGATTAGGAAAAGTGTGTATACATGTAATGGTATATAATGAAATACTAACCCTAGCACTACCTCTTTCACACACTCTTTAATCTATGCCCTCCATTTGTCACAATCTTGGTCCCTCGCGTGTCTCTACCCAAACCCCAACACATGGCCTAATCATCAAATGACACACGTCCCAAATTTTTTTTTTAATTTATTTTTTAGTTTTTATAATTGCACAAAAGTCCCTCCAAAAAATATCTTCAAAAAGATAATCGCACTAATGCCCCAAAATAAAATATCTTCAAAAAATAATCACACAAAGGACCTAAAAAATAAAAATGTCCTTTAAAAGAAATAGCACAAATATTCCCATAAAATACAATTAAAGAAGCATACAATGCTATACAATTAAACCATATTATGAGATAAAATATACTAGAATGAATGCATGAAGTTTCAGGAGCCATTTCCGGACATTAAACCCTACTTTAGTTCCATAACACCTACAGGCAGAAAGGACGAGAGTAAAATAAAATTAAAATAAATGCTGGGAAAAAGAAAAAGACGACACGATCATTACAACGTCAACAACTTAAATTAACATTATAAAGAAACTACGTCATTTTTTTGGAAGGGTAAAATTGTCTTTTTCATTTTTCGGGGCTTGAAGGAGTAAATTGCAACAAATTTATAGTTTAGGGGGTTAGTTGCAAAAACCCCCCACAGTTCAGATTTTTTTTTTTTTTTGCATTTTACACTAAAAAAAAATTATAATTAATTACTCCCTCTCGCTTAAATTCCTTTCTCCCGTGTCTCAAAATGGTCACTAGTCTTTAGATCCAATCTCAATTTGATCAGTTCGTTTTAGCTTTAACCTCATTCGCATCGGATCTAATAAATCTGTTCAATTTTCAAGCAAAATCGCATTCGTTCTAAGATCCGTCTGAGTGAGCCAAGCATTAGGTAGGATTTTCTCAAAATGCTTTAATTTGTGAATTCAGTCTCAACTATGATATACATTGCTTGAATATATATATATATATATCTACATGTATGCTTATATTATACACTATTTAGGTGATTCGGTTTGGCTTTGTTGTATTGGCGGAATTTAACTTGATCTTGTTCTATAGGTTGCGGAATACAGATTGTCTCGCTACCTTATCATTGGTGACAGTCGGATTTCGAGTGGGTTAAGATGGTAATTATTCTGCTGCTTTCATTCATTTTCATGGGTTGAAACTACATATACTATAATTGATGTTCTGTAGATCATTGTTATTCATTAATGCAATAACAAATTTGCCTGAGGATCAGAGTTACTTTGTTTGCTGCTAAACTCAAATTGTTGGCACTATCTGTTGATTTCATTAGAATATATTTATGTATATATATATATATATATATATATATATATTGCTCTTGTAACATTTGAATTCTTACCCAACTGTTTTTTTTTTTTTTTTTTTTTCTTCCCATTACCTAGGTGGTTCTTGCAGCTTCTATTATAACCAAATCTGGCAAAGGTGATTTCCTTGAAATTGATTCGGGTTTCATTGGATGTATGATTTTTTTCTTGAGATTTTAGTTTGGGAAAATCTTGAAAATTCAATGCCTTGTCGCAGTCACATGGGTCAGCTTGTGAAATTGTAAATTTCTTATCACTAATTCAGCACTTCCTCCCCCTACACAAAGTAACATGTTTCTATAGATTCTCCCTGTATGCTTTTAACATTTTTTAACTATCTTAGATGGCAGATGATTTCAAATTAGTAGAAAGTAAACAACAGGTTGACTCAAAGATATAAACCAATGAATATAATTAAATTAAGCACAAAATAAACACTTTTTTTTTTTTTTTTTTTTAATAAAATTTTGATAAGTAAGATATTCCATTATGAAAGGAGACACATTTTTTATAATGCAATATCTTTTTTTTTTATAAGTAATAATAAAATAAAAAGACGTTCAAAAGGGGAACGCGTCTCTTATACAATAGTGGAACCGAGACTAAGGCCCCAAAGAATCCAAGAAAATAATTAAATCATCAGAAAAGGAGCAAGAACTCCTCTTCACATAATTGAAGAGAGAACAAAGAATATAAAGTTTCAGCGTTGCCGTAGATGACTCCTTCACTTCAAACATTCTACTATTTCTCTCCTTCCAGATGCACCACCATACGCAATGTGGGACAATTCTCCAGAAATCGCGTACATCCCTTCTCACACGACATCCTCTACATACATGAATCAAATCCTTAGTAGATCGTGGCATTACCCAACGCATGATAATGGAATATCTAAGAGAATTAATCGAGAGCAATGCAATTTTTATTTTTATATTTTTTGTCTTTTTGTGATAATGGAGGGCTTTGGGAGCAGAAACTTCCCTTTGGTTACATGCAACCACTCAAAAGTGATCTATTTTCTTCTGATTCATGCTATTATTTCAATGCTACATGCTATTATCTTCTGGTGTCCGTTGTATCGATTGCATGATTTTTACATTCTGCTAGTAAATTTTAATTGATAATTATGTCAGTTATGCTTTAATTTAAAATCAGTTAAATCGGTTGGATTGTTCTACAAGTCCTGTTCACTACTTCACTCCCAATCTCCTCTAGGTTTAGATCACTGGACCTTGCGCAACTGTATATCAGAGCCTCGGGTTCCCGTCCTTAGTATTTTGCACTGTCAGATGGCAAAATTTAAAAGAAATATTTGGGCCAAATTTGTTTCTAAAAGAAAAGTGATCAAGTATTTTAGTTTTCGAGTCATGAACAGCATTGAAGGCTGTGCTTCAATTCAAAAAGGATGCACATTTGACAAGACGTTCAAAATATTCACACCCACCCAATGTAAGTGAGTGCGTGAGCACACATAGTATTCGCACCCACTAAAGGCAAGTGAGTGTGTGAGGACTCTTAGGTATAGGTTTAAAGTTCATGTTTTTACTTAAAGGTCTTTTTTGAAACATTGGGACAAGATTTCAAAGTGATTTACTGGTTCTTGAACAAAACAGAAAGTTTGCTGGTACTCAAATTTCTTGAAGTGGTGTACCTGTTAAAAACTTGTACATACCCACCCATTCCAGAAAGAATTGCACGGGTAAAATTCTGCACCCGCACACATGTTCTGTCTATTAAAAATGCATTCTAGAAATATCTGCATCATCACTTTACTTTTTTCACCGGTGCACTACCTATTAATTTGAAAAATAATGTACCAGGAAAATGTGTACAATTTTCTAAAGCTAACCTCATTACCTAATGGGCCTGTCATGTTGGCTTTCTTGGCCATTAAAATTTGCTTTGGAAAATTTCTTCACTGAGTTTATGAATTTTCTTACTTATCAAAAAAAAAAAAAATAATTTCTTCATGAGTATGCTTTACCAAGATTGTTGGCCTTCGATTTCCAGATGAACTCATTGTTTGTTTCGAGATAGAGTCCAAATATCCTATGAATAACATAGTTCACATTTATCAGGGTGGATATATGCAACTGAAAGTTTCTTTGATCTCCAATAAGGTTGCCTCTGTATTTCTTGACTTTTTTTTTTTTTGATAAGTAAGAATATATTAGAAAGCGTTCAAAAGGGAAACACTTCCCGAAGATTAAACCTCTTTATTTCTTGACTTACTTGCCATCTATTGCCCAGAAGTTCTTCTCAGGAACTCCCTTCCCCAAATTGAATTTTGTGCATCACAATTTTCTCCTTTGAAGACTCGTACTATCTGCAGTTTAACTCGAAGGCTACATTTGCTCAATTATCCTTTTGGTACTGTTTAGAAAACCCTTATTGCTTTAATAACTTCTTAACTCTTGCTCTTTCTATGTACAAATGACAGCTGATCAGCTTAAAATCACTCTTTTTCAAATACCCTACTGTGAATGTGCATCTTATACTTGAAAGCATTCTTTAATTGCAGTGCCATAGTCCAGATTATATAGATGTGTGCCTGTTCCTCTTTTTCTTTTGTCTATTGGCCTCAGTATTGCGTTAAGAGTTGAGCGTCTAAATATCAGAGAAACCACAACGTTTCTTCTTTTGGTGTATTAACCTATCATTGTCATACCATTATCTTTGGTATTTTCTTTTATATCATTTATTGTATGGTAATTCAGTTTGTTGATGGTGGTATCAGCAAACCGTTTATGAAGAGTTGGAGTAGTAGTACAAATGTGTGGTTGGAACTTGTGGGAGTTGCATTTGTATTTCTACTTATTTCTAGTCCTTTTTCCTTATAATATGGTTTACTTAGAGATCGCTGTGGTTTATTTTACGTCGCATTTCATCTGACATTTTTATGCTCTATGGATATATTTTTGTCAATCATATTTATATCACCAATTTTCAGTTTTGTTATTTTTTAGAATATCAGAATTGGCTGTTAATCATCTTCCACCCTCAAGGCTCGGGTATGAGTCCCACTCATGGCACTCATTGCCCCCTTGCACAACACCTCCTCTGCCCCTCCCCAAAAAAACAGGAAAAAAGAAAAAGAAAAAAAGAAGAGGATTTAATGGTTTCTAAATATGCTATAAAATTTGCTCACAAGTTAAGATTTAGAAATTGAGTTGACTCTGATTTTTTTTCTGAAGTTGTCATTCGTGTTGGGTGTGTTGTGTGGAGCATATCCTGTCTTTTGATTTGAAGAATTGCTGTTTGTTGGCTATGCTACTTTCTCTATATCCATTTGTTTAGAGTTGTGCATTTTAAGCCGTTGCACCTAAAGTTTATGCTATATTTTTTCACAGTACTTGTTTCGAGGGCGTTTGTTGGCATGTCTCGCATAAGAATTGAGGGGCTTCTTGCAGCTTTCCCCAAGTTGGTTGGAACAGGAAAACAACATACCTACATTGAGACTGAAAATGTGCGCTATGTTTACCAGCCGATAGAGTCTTTATATTTGCTGCTTGTAACAAACAAACAGAGCAACATTCTTGAAGATTTGGATACACTGAGGACATTTTCCAAAATTGTATCCTTTATGGGTTGCATTACTTGTGTTACTTGTACTTTTGAACGTAGGGTTGAATTGCACGTCACCAGAAAGAAATAAATAGAAAAGAAATGGGCGATCCGTGCCTTTTTCTTTTTTGTTGTTGTATGAGTTTGAATCCCTCTGTTATTGATCAATTATGGTCAAGTGTTGCTATCCTCTCTCCCCTCACCACCCCAATTGATGCCTCCAGATGCTTAGTTATTCACTTATTTTTGTTTGATCATTGCGGTTTGCATGCTGTTCCTCATAACTATCCACATTTTTCCTTTTTCCAGATGGATGATGCTTTTCCAGATATTCATTTATTAGAGTGGCATTTTGAGTTATAGAATTGATTTCTTAACGGGGTATAGGTACTTGAATATGCTCTCTCTCTTGAGGAAGAGGGCATTTGCAGGGCAGCTTTTGAGCTGATTTTTGCTTTTGATGAAGTCATCACCCTTGGGCACAAGGAAAATGTAACTGTTGCACAGGTTAAGCAGTACTGTGAGATGGAGAGTCACGAGGAGAGATTGCACAAGCTAGTAATGCAGAGCAAGATCAATGAAACTAAGGATGTTATGAAGCGCAAAGCTAGTGAGATTGACAAAAGCAAGGTAACATCTTAGGGCCCTAAAAGTCATTTGCACAGAGTCCTGCCTCTTTTTTCATTTTTGTTTGTTTTTGCAAACAATTTCTATATAAACTTTTCTACAAATACCTTGCAGATTGACAAGAACAGAGGTGACAAAGGAGGGTTAATGTCTCTAAATTCAATGGGTTCTGGTAGAATAGATGGCGGTTTTAGCAGTGAAATGAGTATATCTAGCACTGGAAGTGGTTCTGCATTTGGATTAAGCACTGACATGGACTCCTTTTCTAGCAAGTCTAAAGGTTGGTACCCATTTATTTATTTTAAATAAAACCGCTGAGAGGTAGATGAGCCTGCTGGTAGTTGGTTTCAACATAATTTTTATACATAATTGAGTAGATAAGCATGCTGGTAGTGTGTTTTAACATAATTATATATACATAAATGAATGACGAAATCAGTAACACCCCGTAATTTTCATTTTCCTTATATCCATATTTAATTGTTGTTGATTCTAGTGCTGTCAGTATCTAGTTCTAGATAAGCATGCTGGTAGTTTGTTTTGACATAATTTTTATACATAATTGAGTAGATAAGCAAGCTGGGAGTGTGTCTTAACATACTTTGTATACATATTGGATAATGAAATCAGTAACACCTGGTAATTTTCATGTCCCTCTGTATCCATATTTTGATTTTGTTGATTCTAGTGCTATCAGTATCTGTTTGTTGTTTTTCTGATACTGAATGGATCCAACATACCCTTTTTACTTATGTGTACAAGGGTTTAAACTTTGTGGTTGGTGTGGACTTCAACTTTAAAGCTGGTTTCTTCTCTCTTGCCATAAAGGCCTCTGGTTATGCGAACTAACTTCTAACTTTATGTTACAATATCAAATCCGGTGGAAGAATCACAGAACCCTCCATTATGGATAACGCCGCGCTGTTTGATACGACTGGAAATTTTAGGTGCTAAAATTTTTAATTGTTAATCATAAATTGAAAATCACTTTGACAAATTTTTGAATATAAAGTATTTAGTGAAGTCTCACTCAATTAAAATTTTACCCCATTTAAGTGGCATTTATTCTTTTTTACGTAGTATCCCTATTGTGTTATCACACACACTTAATTGAATAAGAACGTAATTTATTCAGAATTGGCTAGTTAAATAACAGTCTTTGTGGCTTTCGACAGCTCTTAGTTCAACACCACAACAACTCCCCAATATGTACAAGACTCAAAGGATTCACAGTTTCCCACATCTCTTGGTTAGTTGTTACACCTAATCACTTGCATGTGACATTTCCACCTGTCTACCGAAGATTTAATTTAGAATGGACATCCTTAATTTTAGCATTTTTAATGTTAGGCACTAACATCGGACTTTGGGATCAGTTGTATTGTGCTCTCTTTGCCATTCAAATTGTGTTGTTCGCCGTATTGTGTTCTCTTTGCCATTCAAATTATGTTGTTCACCCCTTAGTTAATCCAAGATGTTCCTTCTTCGGGAAAACACTATATAAGATTTATTTATTTATTTTTTAAACTACTAAGATATTTTGAATACTGTATTTGCATCATTAGGTCGTCCACCTGCATCTGCTACAGCTCCCCCAAAGGGCCTTGGTATGCAGCTTGGTAAAACACAGAGGACAAACCAGTTTTTGGAATCTTTGAAGGCTGAAGGTGAAGTGATTCTTGAGGATGTACGTCCGAGTGCCAGTCAATCGACTCAATCTAGATCTGCTGCTCCACCACCAACTGATCCAGTCACATTGACTGTAGAAGAGAAGCTCAATGTGATATTAAAGCGAGATGGTGGTGTCAATAACTTTGACGTTCAGGGCACCTTGTCTCTTCAAATTCTTAACCAGGAAGATGGACTAATTCAAGTTCAGGTAGTCTCTCTCTCTCTCTCTATATATATATATATATGTATATTCTGTATGTTGTCTGTGTGTGCAATGCGCATGTGTGTGTGGATGCATGGTTGCATGTGCTTGCATTGTATGATATATTTTTTCATATGTGTGCATGCTTATCTGCGCGTGTTTCAGTTATTGTGATGAATTAATTGGACAATACTTGGGTCCTGCACTATGAGGATGAATTTTGTCCTCACGGGTGATGTGGCCCAACAGGCATTCAACGTGTCTTAAATAATTTATGATATTAAAAAATTAAAAAGTGAAATTGACCTGTTCTTAAAGGGTGAACGGGTAGAGAACCCATATGAACCCGTTCTTAGTAGACCATCTGCCGCTGCAACTCCCCACCCTCCGCCACCACCGCCATTGCCACTTACCACCACCACTGCTCCTCTCTCTCTCTCTCTCTCTCAATCAACGCCTCTTCTTATTTCTCTCTAGATTTCTCACTCTCTCACAACTCTGAAAACCTAAAAAACTAAAATATATTTTTCTTCAAATTCAATCAAAATATTTATTTCTCTTTCTAATCTCCATCCCCATTCTGCAACCCAACCTCTATTCAAAAACCAGAATTAATTTTCATCATTCTGTTCCATTAATCCGCCACCTCCGCTGCGCACCAAATCTTAACGCTGCAATGCTCTGCATTTTTTCTCCCTAAATCCAATATTGTCTCAATGATTTTTAGAGAGAGAAAGAAGAAGAAGAGGGAGTGATTTAAGCACTTTCCTTTGGCGGTCTTCTTTTCACCTCTGTCACAGCAAACTGATACCAACAAAATTAAAAATTGAAACAAGACACATGCATAGGCGACTATATAGAGATATAGATATTGGATGTTTGTGGGGGGTTTGTGATTTTTCTACTTAGTTGCAGCGATGGAGAGGTTGCAGAGGTGGAGATTGAAATTAAAAAGGTTGGGACTGAGACGCCAACAGAGGATTGAGAGAGAAGGATATTGAAGGAGAAAGCTTCTCAGTGGCTGCGAGGCCATTGGTAGTTTTCCGAGTACCAGTGATGTTAGAGATATAGAGAGAGGGTGGGGAGCAGTGGCGGTGGCGGAGAGAGGTGGGGTGTGGCGGCAGTGGTGGCTGACGGTGGAGTGTGGCCATTAGGGTTTTGGATGGAGGTTGGTTCAGATTAGATTCTCAGGGAATTTTTTTTCAGATGGGTTATACCCAGTTAACCTGTTAAAACGGGTGTAATACATTTTTATTTCATTAATATTATATAAATTTATAGGACAAGTTTCACTTTTTAATTAGTCCACATCAACTAGCAGGACTAACTTTATCCTCATAGGCAGGTCCGAAATAATTTGTATATAATCCTGGGGATTTTGGGCAAACATAATTGTTCACATCAGATAGAATTTTTGGTTGTGTGATTGATGTAAGGGATCTTAGATTTTTATCTTTATTTATTCATTTTAGTTGATTTTAAGTGCTTGAAAAAGGGTTGCCATTAAATTTAATGAATAATGAGTTCTTAGAGACTATTGAGCTGCAATTTTTTTTTCTTCTTAAACATGACATTTAAAATATGACAAGACCTTTCCACACGACATTTAGACATTTAAAGAGTGGGGACACTTATATACTCCCTCACGAAAAATAACATTGACTTAGTTAAGGCCTTGATTTAATTCCTCAGGCATGCTCCTTGAATCCTGTTTGATCATTCCACCGGCTGCAAACTTTGTGTTGGATGATTGACAATAAACTGTAATTTTCTTCTAACAACTATTAGCTGATGATATAGATGTTAAAGAGCCAAATGATTATTTACATGCAATGTCAACGTAGTTGTGTAAACCATATGCTGACAGCCACATTGTTGCCTTAACTATATATGGTGATGTTAATGATTCATGATAGTTGATGGTAATTGTAGACACCGCATTTTGCCCCATCCCTTTTTCAGTCTAAAACCCATGTTCTGATTGCCTAGATTTCGTAAATACTGGACTGTCAAAGCAATCACGGAGCTCTGAAGGTCCTAATTTTCCCTGAAGGTGATCTTTCATCATCAATCATCATTACGAGCTACTATGTCCGTCATCCTGATTTGAATCACAGTACAACCAATTTCAATCCCCGTCAATAGTGGGAAACCTTAATCGTGCATGAAGTTTAATCCAAGAGTTTGATTCAATTTCTCATATCACATTTCTTAATCTCATTTTACATGACCTAGAGCACTAAAACTCGATATTAGGTGGAGAATCTCATGAGTTCTTTAGGGCGCATTAAAAGTCTCTCTCTCTCTCTCTCTCTTTATATATTATTATTATTATTATTTTTATAGCTTTTAAAAATTAATCATTTTACTAGCATTCTCCCACGAGGGTGCCATAGGGAAAAAGTGGGGCATGACAATTATTTTTGAGTAAACTAAGGAAGTACATAACTTTTGGTGGTTCAGATGTTAGAATTTGTAGATGTAGGTTTGCATGCTTTACTTATCGATAAGAGAAAAAGATGTAGGTTCACATGCTTTATCTAAAGGAATATTCATTATCCTGTGGCTTACTTTCAGATTGAGACGCGGGGTAATCCAGACATTCTTTTCAAGACGCATCCTAACATCAACAAAGAGTTGTTCTCCAATGAGAATATTCTGGGACTCAAAGATCCTAGCAGACCATTTCCCACCGGCCAATCTGGTGAAGGTGTTGGTCTCTTAAAGTGGAGAATGCAAAGTGTAGACGAGTCAGTTGTGCCATTGACAAGTGGGTTTGCAACTTTGCATATATTGCCATTCATTATTCTTGTTTTTAATTAATTATGTTTTTAAATTTGTGTATCTCTCTTCCATTTATTTTAAGTCTTCTTTTGTCTCAGTCAACTGCTGGCCCTCTGTTTCTGGTAATGAAACTTACGTCAGCATTGAGTACGAAGCTTCATCAATGTTTGAATTGCAGAATGTCGTGATTTTGGTTCCTCTTCCAGCTCTAAGAGAGGCACCAAGTGTAAGGCAGATAGATGGTGAATGGAGGTGAAATCCCAACTTTCGTTGTTTTACAAGTATTTTATATACAGTTATAAAAGAGGTCATCGGTGTTCTAAAGCTGAGATTTTTTCTTTGGAGTCTTAGATTAAAATTGAAATTGAAATATGACCGCACTTTCAGAGGAAAGTGGAATTATTAGACCAGAAGGACAGGTTAAAAGCTACATCATACCTTTAGCAGTTTCGTTAAAGCTGTTATTTCATGTTATATATTCTCCAGTTGTGAAACATATTACTATCATGTCAAAAACAAGGTTTTTTGGTTTGGTTTGCAGAACATATTTTTATCATATTGAAAGCAAAGTTATTTTTTTATTAACACAAATAATAACATAACTTTTTCCTTTAAATTTTTTTTTTTTCTTTTCGGAATCTTGCCTTGTCGAAAAAAAAAAGAAAAAGTTATACCAACCCCCCCACCCCCACACGCACGATAGACTAAGCTCTACTTGCTTCCATTGTTAAGGCGAAAGGGATTTGCTTACAAAGGCGAGAGTAATGGGCCAAGATCCCACCCTCCTTAAGCTCTTTGGCGAAGTTTTTTATTTTTATTTATTTAAATTAGTATTGTTTATAACTTTTTGTGCTATCATAATTTTATGTTTTTTTTTATGTAGTATTTCTCTATCTTCTTCATTTACAATTATAGTTTGACATGTAAAGTGAAACAAAAATCAATTTTTTGTTCAACTTTTGTGCCACTAAATGACTAGATTTTTATAAGCTTAGTCAGCTCTTATGAACTCTTTTTTTTTTTTTTTTTCTTTCCTCCTAGATAAAGTGGAAAAAAATTTATAGATAGAAAAATAATGGTACAAGGCACTAAGCAGAGGCATTCCTCTGCTTTACAACTTCATAAAGAATAGCAACACATCTCAAAACACATAAAACACAGAATGACAATGAAAAAGAGGGACATATCATCTGCAAATCATATCTCTGAATTGCAGACCTGAAGCATCCAAAACCTCCCACCAAACTGATCTGGCAATCTCCACTGCTGTCTTGGTTGCTTCTTGATGTAATCTTCTGTTGCTTTCAGTCCAAAGGTGCCATATTGTAGTTGAAAATATTCGGACATAGGCCTTATGGATAAACTTGTAAATAGCAAACCAGTTCACTAGCTGCTGCAGAGTGATGACAGCAGGCATAGTCCACTGCAGCAGAGTAGAAAACCAGTCCCATATTTCCCTAGCAAAGGAGCAATGGAAAAACAAATGGTCAACAGAGTCTTCAGCATTCCAACAGTTGTGACAAACTCATGCCAAGTAGAATCCTCTCCTCTTGAGATTATAGAAGCTAAGAAGCTTGTCATGAAGAGCTAGACAGGTAGTAACTGCTACCCTTGGCCTGCAGCCCACCCAGCAGACAGAGTACCAAGGAACCAGAGAATCATGCTTCCTGCAAACGATCCACACTGCCTTGAGGGAGAACTCTCCCATCTTCCAGTGAATTGAGTCTTCCCCACCATTTATGACAACAGTTAAGAGGAAATTCTAGAACTGCTGAATGTGCAAGGAAGTTGAACCACCTACATTCCATTGACCATTTGCAATAATATCAGCTACCCAAGCATTTTTTGGCAGACTTAGGTCCCTATAAAATCTGTCATGGAACCTAGTCAACAATGTTTGTCCTTGACGCCAGGGATCTGTGAAAAGCTTTAATGTAGTACTATCAACAATTCCAAAAATCAACTGCTGCAGATTAATTCCTTTCACAGTAAGCATATTCCTCCAAATAATTGAATGAGAGGGCAATGCACAACCACTCCAGAAAGTAGTTGTCCTTGTATATCTGCTCTTAAACCATGCCACCCACAATATGTCCTTGGACTTAAGAAATTTCCACACTAAACAACAGGTAGCGGCCTTATTTATATCCTCAAGCCTTCTCACTCCCAAACCACCTTCTTGTTTGGGTCTGCACACCCTATCCCCCCTTAGCCAATGAATTTTCCTAGAAGCATCAGTAGAGCCCCATAAATAATTTCTCATCTTCTTTTCCAACAAGAGGATGACAGAAGAAGGAAGTGTAAACACTGAGCACCAATAGTACACATATGAGCAAAAAACTGTTTTAACCAGTTCCAATCTGCTTGCAAGAGATAGGTTGAGGCCATTCCAGGATGAGAGTTTTCTGGTCACTTTATCCACCAAGCCTGCACAAGAAACCTTCTTCAAACCACGAGGGAGTAGGGGTAGACCGAGGAAGTAATAGGAAAGTTTTCTATTTTGCAATGAAAAATGCTTTGTATTCTCCTCCTCACTGATTTTGAGAAGAACGTGATGGACTTGTCCTTGTTTACCTGATGCCCAGACATGGATCCAAAATTCCTTAAAGCATTAGATAAGTTCCTAGCAGTTCCATACTGAGCTTGTAACACCACCAGCAAATCATCTGCAAAAACAGATGGGACACTCTAAGGCCAGCTTTAGCAATTGATTTAGAAATTTGTACCTCCCCTCTTGCAGCAATCCTATCTAGCATAGTTGAAAAGATCTCTGTTATCAAAGTGAATAGGAGAGGAGACGGACATCCTTGTCTCAGGCCTCTCTTTGGTTGTAAAAAACCATGAGAGCCATTAATTAAGACTGAAAACCAAGCAAGTCATCACCCATTGAATCCATTTTCCACCAAAGCCCATAGCAACAAGAACTTGTTTTAAGAAGCTCCATCTAACTGAATCATGTGCCTTTTTAAAGTCCACCTTTAAAGCCATTAAAGGATTGAAATTTTTATTTGAGAAACCCCTAATCAACTCATATGCCAAGATAACCTTATCCTGAATTTTCCTGCCCCTAATAAAGGCTGATTGGTCATTCCCCACCAGCTTAGAAACAACTGCACTCAGCCTATTTGCCAAACACTTTAATCTTATATAAAACATTTCAGAGAGCTATAGGTCTATAGTCCTGAATCTTAGCAGCCCGGTCTTTCTTGGGAATCAGAGTAATAAAAGAGCTATTAACAGTCTTAGGAAGAAAATTACCATTGAAAAAATGTCCGACAGCATCATAAAGATCTTCCTTGATAAGAGACCAGTAGGTTTGATAGAACCTAGCAGGAAATCCATCAGGCCAAGGGGCCTTATCAGGTCCCATAGTCATGACAGCCTCTCTAATCTCCTCCATAGAACAGTGAGCTTCCAAACTGGTAGCATCCTCCACAGAAAGTTTCCACCTTGGCTGGGGGGAGGTGCTGCAAGTCCATCATATCTGCAGGTTCATCATAAAGAGTCCTGTAGAAATTCACTGCAATAATACAAACATCCTTTTGATTATGAACCAAAAGCCCATTGGTGTCTTTCAAAGCCACGATCGAATTAAAAGACCTAAGCTGAGCAATCTTTTGAAAAAAGAATTTAGTACATCTATCTTGATCCCTAGCCACTGAGTCCTTGACTCCTGAGCCACCACCAACTCTTCATTGCTTAAAGCCATCATCAACTCTTCGTCGCTTAAGGCACATTGTAATCTATGTTGAGCAGCCTTCTCATCATCCAGAAGTTGGGCATTATTAGGGTCTTGAAGAATCTTAAATTGCAGCTCATGCAAGCCCTTTCTAGCCTCTGAAACTTGATCAAACACAGATCCAAAGGTGGAGGAGTCTTCAAAGCCTGCTTGACCTGCTTCAATTTTTGAGTAAATCTAAAAATTGCAGTTCCCTGAACTTCAGACGTCCATGTCTGCTTTACTATAGCAGAAACACCCTCTCGGTAATTCCACACTTTTAGAAATTTAAAGGGCTTAGGACTAGAAGCAATATCAGCTGCTGTAATTACAACAAGGGAGTAGTGATCTGAAAGACTATCTGCAGTTAGAAGAACCTTGTAGTTTCTGAATGTAGGCAGCCACTCTGAGTTCACCAGAGCTCTATCTAGTTTAGCACAATTCCTAGCAGAGATGGCTTGCTTGTTAGACCAAGTCCAACCCCATTCAGAAGTGGCAGGTCCAACAGACAAGCATTATCCAGTGCACCATTAAGTTCATCTAAGAGGCCTTGAGGGACCCCTCTACCACCAATCTTCTCCCTCTAGCCCCTCACAATATCCAGTCACCAAGGGTCTACCAAGGCCCCTGAATCACATAGGCATAGTTCACAATAGAGTTCCACAATTTCCTTCTATCAGACACTATATTTGCCGCATACACAGGAGTAATATAAAAGGAAAACTGGGAACCAATTCTATGGAGTTGTAGCAACATACACTGAGTGGTAATGTCAATAACCTGCACAGCCAGTTTAGAGGGATCCCAGCCAAACCATATTCTACCCAAGTGACGAGAAGCATTATCATTGCCCCAAACTATCTACTATGAATCCTTCTACACACTGATCAACATGAGCACCTTTTATTATAAACTTGCTTGAGATAGAGAGGGATATTTGCCTTCAAAGTCTTACTATAGTTTGTGATGTGCTCATCAAATCGTTATTAAATATGGTTTCAAATTGTTTTATTTTTCCTTTTTGTTCTTTTCTCTTTTTTCATGTAAGTTCTTGGCCTTCTCTCCTTTTTTATGGAAGTAATGCACAACACTTGCATGTTCTCCGTTGCAGGTATGACTCCAGAAATTCTATTTTAGAGTGGTCAATACTTCTGATCGATAACTCAAACCGCAGGTAAGCATTGATGGTCTTTTTTTTTTTAATTAAATTATTTTTCTGTCTAATCTGTGATTTGTCGGCTTCTAATTCTTTATTGAAAAACTTGGCAGTGGATCAATGGAGTTTGTTGTTCCTCCAGCAGATTCTTCAACCTTCTTCCCCATTTCTGTGCGTTTTAGTGCTGCAAATACATTCAGTGACTTAAAGGTTTGCTTCTCTTTTTGTTGCTTCATGCTATTTTCTCAACAAATAATGTTGCAGATGTATTAAAACCCATGCCAGTTCTCTTGTTGACATTTCTTTGCATGTAAAATATCTAGAGATATACTTTGTCATGAGCATGATAACATATGTTGTTGTGAACCAGGTAAATATTCTTGCACACTGTGGCCCGTAACTCTGTGTGTTTGTGTGTGCATAGATATATATTATCATATTTAAATTGTCAGTGCCCCTTCTTTCTCCTACCAGTAAACATACCAAGCAATAGATATGAGGCTGCTGTTTGGTGCCATGATAAAAGCTCAGGAAGCTTAGCGTAAGAACACACGTTCGATTCAGGCAACAGTCACTTGTGTGAATAATGTCAAAGATAACATTGGTACTTAGTTTATCTCTTTCAGCATCCTCGATTAACAATCATATTGGGTAAAGTCCTTTATCAAGCATGTGCAGCGCTGAAATTGTCGAATGAATTCAGTGAGATACTAAGGACTTGTTAAAGTTTCTAATCTGTTTTGCAACTTGATTTTGACTTGAAATTCTTATTATCAAACTCCTCGTAAAGAGAAATTAAAAGATAGGGAGAGAATAAAAAAAAAGGAAACATGCTTAACCTGGGAAATATCGTAGTATCTTGTGATCATGAATCTTCTGATTGAAGGAAGGTTGCATTCTGATATCACCCATCTACTGCAAGCATGGAATAGGGATTTTAGGTTGGAAGTTCTAAATGTCATATTTAGTTTAGCCAACATTTAAAAAAAAAAAAAAAAAAAACAGAAGCTTACCTATTGTTGTCTTAATGGGGGGATATGTAAGGCTGTAAGCCTTAATGCTAGGAGCAGAGCCAAAAATTTTGATTTGGGGGGCCAAACCAGTACTATGTAATTAAAATTTGAAAACTTTGTACACCAGTTATAATAAAATTTTCTTCATAATTTGTCTTAGTGTATATATATATATATTGACAAAAATACAATCCAAAAATGAAAGAAATAATATAGGTAAAAAGAGAAGAGGTAAAGAAAAGCTAATTTTCTTGCAATAATTGTTTTAATTTTTCAAAAATTCATTTTATTGGAAAAAAAAAAATTGATTACCTTGATTTCACTTTGGGAAAGTTATATCATTATTACCTTGATGAAAAATTAAGGAAAAAAAAAACACTAAACTAAATATAGCTAGCTTTAACAAAACACGAATGTCAGGGACAAAACACCAGAGTACTTTAGTAACTTATACAAGGAGTAGTATATAATTAATCATTTAAAAAGTGACAATTAAAAATATTAGCATATATGATATCATTGTTGTTGCTGGCATTATTGCCATCTTGATTTCACAGCACTATAGTTTTTCCCTATTTCCCGATGCTCCCAATACTCGCTGATGGAGATTGGTATATCATTCTAGATATTTTTCCGGTAAACACCATCTTACGAAAATGTCTGACAAGAAACCTTTATGTATTTTTTTTTATTTTATTCAACATGGGGTACATAATACATTAGTGTAATTTTCTCCTTTTCTCTCTCTTAAAGTCATATACTCACTTGATTTCATGTAATGGATATTATATGTGTATATGTAATTGAGATAATGATGTGTTGTGGTAAGGACTATATAATGAACTTATATTTTTGTTTCACAAGGTTTGGGCTTTCAACAAGTATGGTTAAAAGGGTACAAGTTGAAAATTTCTATGAGTTTCAATGGACACATGTTAAATCTATTTTCAAAAACTCTATTTTTGGGGCCAACAAATAAGTGTTTTGAAAAAAAATGGGTGCCAATTGAAATTTTTAATGGCTTTTGGAGAACACAAGTTAGGTATTTTTACAAATATATATATATATATATATATATATATATATATGTATGTATTGTGTGTGTGTGAACTGATGCACCTGTTTTTTAGATTTTAGTAGAATGAATGGTCTGCATTTGGGGTTGACTCAGTACACCTTTCCAGTGTTATATGTTTGTAATTTAATGTAAATTTTTCACAGGTCGCTAATATCTTACCGCTGAGAGGTGGACCATCTCCCAAGTTTTCTCAGAGAACTCTTCTATCTACGGAGAACTACCAAGTTGTATAATTGAAATTTGCTACGTAGACAAGTGGGCATGGATGTCTTTACATTTTTAGAGATGTTTCATATTCTTTTTGAATTAAACTAGTAAGACAACTGCTCCTTTTTTTTTTCACCTTCATTCTTTCTGAAATTTGGCGATAAAGTGATGCTGGGCACGGTTATTTCTTTGATTAGCATGAAACCTTTTTATTTTTATTATTTTTATATATTTTTTCTATTATTTATATATATATGGAAATATACTCGTGTTCTTTTTATTGTCAAATTGTTTTAATAATTTTACCTCAAGATACTTTTATTTATACCTACTTGTTGAGAAACTTTTGAACTATTAGATACTTACTCCTAGAACTGGAATGAACAAACTACTACCATGGAATTCTGTTTTGTTGCATTTAACCAAAACATCATCTCTTCCTGAAGTTCAAATCTTGTGCTAGATGAATACGGTCTAGTCTATTACAGGGCACTCCTTAGTTGAGTCGGGCATAAAATGCATCTTTGTACTTGTGCCAAAAATATCACTAGCTTTAAGATTCCATGGGGCTGGCTCATGATCCCCGATGAGCCATCAGCGAGGTTGGCACTGGACGTGTTGTGTGACTTTGTGCACTTGCATGTGTGTGGGTATACTTTTTGTAAATATAAGAAACTCAGCCTTGGAGGGATTGCAATATTTTAGGAAAAGGTTACAGGCAGGGATCACGAAACACCCTTACCAAGAGACGGTACATAAACTGGATGCCTATAGACTTGGTTATGACCAATTATGATTTCACTTGACGAAGGGTGACGTTACTTCTTGTTAAAAGGTGATTCCTCTATAAGAGGAGGCACTGTGTGTGTGTGAGTTTACCATCATCAATGGTTACGGCACTTAGTGGACAAGCTCGAGACAGCTTGGGGTGCTCTACAAATTTAGGAGGATGGTTTAGAGTTTCCATGCGGATGGGGATTTTCGTGGATGGTACCATTATTGTCGATGGTTTGCAGTGTTAACCTGTGAGGTGGTAGTTGCAGGCTATGAATCATTGTTCTACTCAGGTGTTGCATTGATGGGGTCTGCTTTAGGTGCTTAATGGCTAATAGTGCTTCTTGTTATGTATGCTAATGTTGAATGGTACTTAACCATGTTACTCTTCAGTCATTCGAGTGTGGAACATATAAGGTGGTAGTTGTAGGTTATGAATTAAAGTCTTACACAGGTGGTGCATTGGTGTTTTCTCGTATCAGTTCTTAACTGCTTATGGACCTTCTTGTCATGCATGCTAATGAGAATGGTTCTTAACCATGTTACTCCTTAGGTTTCGAGTCTTTGGAGCGCGAACATGTGAGCTGCTAGTTTTAGGCTACGGATCATGGTCTAGTCTAGTCAGGTGCATTGGTGGCTTCTGCTATAGGTGCTCAATGGCTCTCATGGTGGCTTCTGCTAGAGCTGCTAGTTTTAGGCAACTTTCTCAACCTATTTTCTATATCAGAAAGAGTGTTTCAAGCTGTTTTCCTTCTAACGACCTCGGTGGAATCATCAAATGAAAACGGGACACAATTCATTCATCACAAACTTCAGCCTCGAATATTTGCACTTACAAATAGAACCAAACAATCCACAGCTTAGAGGTGCGTAAACGCTTCATTGAGTGTTCTGTTTCTCCTCTCCGCGATGCCATTCTGTTGTGGAGATCTGGGAGCAGAATCTTGATGATGGATTCCAACTTCTTCACAATATTGGACAATCTCAGAAACAGAATACTCTCCTCGATCTGATCTCAAATTTTTTTTTTTGCTATTCCGAAAATTCTCAACTTCAGATTTATAAGCCTTCAAATTTATGAAAAGCTTCAGCTTTTGATCTGAGGAGATAAACATATATATATCTTGAGGCATCGTCAATAAAAGGGTTTACATACTTGCTTTATTGGATATGATGTTCAAAAGGGGAATGAATGCATACCTAAAAAAACTATACAAGGCCAAATAGGGCCTCTAAACATTCAAAGAACCCAAAATATCAACAATCTACCCAATGGAACTTCTCCCTAGAACCCAACAAAAAAAGGTGCTAATAATAGAGAACTTCAATGCCCCAATAGAAGTCTCCACTCCTTTGAAAGGATCCCCGATTTGTTTCAACAATAGATACCACCAAACGCATAAAGGCCAACCCTCCAATAATCTCGAACTTGGGCCCCCAGTATTGATCTTAATATAAAAGCATACTTCATTATAACGTTGACACTTGATAACACTTGCTAGGAAAAAGCTCTGATACCAAATTAATGTAGAAGAACTCACGGTAATACAGTTTTCATAATATCATTCAATTTGTACTGAAGTCTTTCTTCCTTTTTTTATATTATTTTTTAAGGAGAGACGAGGGAGGGAGGGAGGTTGGAAGTGTATATATCTAAGCTATCATTATTATCAGCGTGTTGTAATGGTAAACTCCCTAAAATATTCAAGCAGAATTCCTTATTTATTGGATAATATTTCAGTCCTGTCCCATCAGGACAAATTGAGCCCAGCATATTAACGTGTCTCAATAAGAGGTTGATACATCTTTTAAACTTAAAAAGATACAATACATGAGTTATATCCATTTTTTCTATATATATTTTTTTCTCTCTTTGCTCCCATCTGTGTATCTCACTCACATATTCATCTAACATCTTTCTTTTTCCTTAGCTCCAGCAACCAATCATTCCGCTATAGAGTTGAGTGAAAAAATGAATAATTTTCATATATAGCATGCATAAAAAATAGTTGAGGTAGATTTTGAGAAGGGAGAAATAGAAATGGTTAGTTCAATTTTTTTAAGAATAGTTTTATATCTTAAGAAAATTAAAAATAATAAAAAAGGTAGGAAAGATGATTTTCCATGAGTTGTTCTCTAGAAACAGAATTAAAAGAAGATACATTCAAAATTGAGTAATTTTAAAACTATTTCAGAATTTTTTTTTATATGATTCTAAAAAACTGCCTTGAACTATTTCAGAATTAAATTTTTTTTTATTCTTCTAAGGATTTGGAATGATTGGCAGCGGGAACTAAGGGAAAAGAAAGATGTGGATGACCCATGTGAGTGAGATATATAGACGGGAGTAAAGAGAGGGAAAAAAAAAAAAAATTGATTTGTCAGGTTTAAACCTAAAAAATAGGTTTAACCCATGTTTTGTATTTTTTTAAGTTTAAAAGAAGGTGTCAACCTCTTATTGTGATATGTTAGTGTACAGGACAGATGGGGTAGGACCGAAGCATTATCCTTATTGCTATGGCGAAGTAAATGATAAAAAGTTGTGATTAGAAAGTATATCAAGCTCATATCTCATGAAAGGCTTTATTACTGTTCCGGCTGTCTCGCTTCGCAGGCTCATCAGTCTTCGCTGAAACAGCAACTTAGAGACTTTTTCTCTGATTGTTAAGAGCGAAAACGGTCTTTAAATCAAATTAAAAGACAATGGTCGTGAATTCTAAAAACGAACTGCATTTAAAGACCTACAAGGTCGTGAGAGAAAACAGAGAAGGGCATTTTAGACCAAAAAAATATATTTACTATATTAGTAGTAGTATTTAGTTTTGTTCAGTGACTCTTTCACCTACTTACTATTTGAATATGATTATACGGAGTATATTTTAAGACTACACAAATAAATTGTCATTTATTTATAAGTTTTGTCAATTTACATTATTTCATTAACAAGGGAGCAGTGCTACACTTCAAAAAAAAAAAAAATTAAAAAAAAAAAAAATGGTAAATATGATGTCGTATTTCTCCATTAAAGTCACTCTTTCCTCTTTTTTAGACTAATTACTCTCTCAATATTTTATTTTTAAAATATTAAAAATTCATATTATTTCTCCATCACAGTCATCAGGACGTCAACATAGCCCATCAAAGTACCCTTAAAAAAAAGAAGAAGAAGGTAGTCCTCCTCTAATTTCATTTATAGGTGCTTTAAATTTGTTTGAGTAATTATCCATAATCCCAAATCCTAACTATGTATTATTGTTTTATAATAACACATAAAAATTATTTACGTATCATTCTCTCCATGATTAATTATACGTAACTTCAATATATATATATATATATATATATTTACACTAAGATAAATAGGTAATTTGTATTAGAATTTTATAGAAACTCTTTAAATAAATTCATAATAAATAGATAAATGCAGGTTATATGTCATAAAGTTTTATAGAAAATAAAATAACTAATTTGTAGTAAAATTTTATAGAAATTATTTTATTTTCTTTAAATATATTCTTGTCTAATTAGATTTTATTTTATTAAAAAACTTAAAATAAATAGATAATGTGATAGAGTTTTATAGAAAATACAAAAACTAATTTGTGGGATATTTTATAGAAATTGTTTTTATTTTCTTTGACTATATTCTTGTCTAATTAGATTACTTTTATTAAAAAAACTCATAATTAATAGATAAATAGGTAATTTGTGTTAGAGTTTCATAGAAACTCTTTAAAAAACTCTTTTTATATCAATTAATAAATATATATTTTTATATTAATAATTATTGACAAATTAGATTTTCTTTTATTAAAAAACTCATAATAAATTGATAAATAGGTAATTTGTGTTAGAGTTTTTATGTGATAGAGTTTTATTGAAAATAAAATAGGTTATTTGGGGTAGATTTCTATAGAAATTATTTCATTTTATTTAAAAAAAACTCGTAATAAATAGATAAATAGGTAATATGTGTTAGAGTTTTATATAAACTCTTTTAAAAAATCTTCATTTTATATTAATTAATAAATATTTTTTATATTAATTTTTTTTTTTGTCTAATTAAATTTTCTTTTATTAAAAAACTTATAATAAATAGATAAATAAGTAATTTGTATTAGAATTTTATAGAAACTCTTTAAATATATCCTTATCTAATGTAATAGAGTTTTATTGAAAATAAAATAAGTAATTTATTGTAGAGTTTTATAAAAATTATTTTATTTTCTTTAAATGTAACCTTGTCTAATTAGATTTTCTTTTATTAAAATGTAATTTAAATTTATTTTATTTTTTTATATTTATTAATAAATATTTTTATATTAATAATTTTTGTCTAATTAGATTTTTTTTTATTAAAAAACTCATAACAAATATATAAATAGGTAATTTGTGTTAGAGTTTTATAGAAACTCAATTTATTCTAATTAATAAATATTTTTTACAT